ATAACTTTTAGTATAAAGTTGTGCAAGCATCACAATTGATTATAAAATTTTTCTTTAACCCTAAAAGAAGCCACACACTGCATAGCTGCTTCTCCTATTCCCACCCCCAGGAAACCACTAATCTACTTTCTGTTGCTACAGATTTGCTTATTCCGGATATTTCTTATAAATGGAATTCTACAATATTTCTTATAAATGGAATTACATAAAATTGTGCTTTGTGATAATAAATGTTTCTGGTACTGAATACTTTAAAAGTCAAACATGTGGAATAGACAATGCAGTAAGGTCAGAGAAGAGGAAAAAAAACAAGCAGCTATACACCATTCACCAAGATACATGCATATTATTGAAGTGCTTTGGATATGGCGAGAGGCAGGGAACAGTGTGTATTGCTGTGTATGTGTGTACATCTGAGCAAGTAGATAATTTGCAGATATTTTCCTTGTCCAAGTGCCTTACTTTCCTCATTCAAAAAGGAAGGAAGGTCATCAAGAGAGTGACAGGGAATTTGCAGAGAGAACACAGTATGAAATAATCATATGGAGAGAGGGAAAGAATGAGCCAGAAAGGCATAGTATGATTGCCTGGCAGTATTAAAGATCTAGTTGAGGTTCATGGTCATGAATTTTAAATAAGATAAGTCAGCAGGGTTTTAGGGTTTTTTCCACCCACATTTAGCTGTAAAAATGCAGAGATTATATAAGCAGAGAGATTTAACTGGTGTTCATTCACTAGCTTATGACTTTAACTACCTAATTTATTAATGACTCCCAAACCTGCATTTTCTACTGCTACTAAAAATCTCCGAATACAGAAACTTTAGGCAACTTCACAGTCAAAGCACTAAGCTGGACTGAAAAAGGAAACTGGTTCCACAATGGTTATGAAGAAGGCATTTTTATATATATTATCTCAAATAATTCTCCCAACTCTTTATAAACAACCATCCCTACACAACAGAAACCTGAAATCCCCAAAGTTGAACGTAAGGTGGTTGAGACTAAATTTTAAGCCTGTCAAACTCTGAAGTGATTCTATTTTTACTTTATTGATAGACTTAACTATTCTTTTTATCAATATGGCAATTGGAGTCCAGATGTGTTGAATAATTAGCCCAAGATCAAACAGTTTTCCAGTGGTACAAATGCCATTTCAGATGAATATTCTTTCACATTTTGATGTTAGGCTTTCTTGCACACTTACTGTTCTGTAATCCTATGTTCAACCTATAGCTAGCTGGGCGGTTTCTTTCTTGAAAATCTTCTCCAGGATACTTTGTGTGTCCCTCCCGTGCCTTCATACTACAGTGCAGCCTGCAATCAGTCATGCTGGGTTACTCCAACAGGCTCCTATACTGACCTTCATCTATTCCCTTCTCTAATCCCAATTTAGAGGTAATCACTTCCTTTCCCTGACTCTCATGAATAAAACATCTATAGTGCAGAAATATGAAGATTAAATATGATCAATTTCATATAATTATCAATAAGATCAATAATAACATACAAGTAAAATCCTACTTAAATGTCAGCCGTATCAAAGGATGCTCAACATCCTTTGTCAGGCAGACACGTAGCTGCAGTGACAGATCACCTACTAGGATGGTTATAACCAAAAGACATGACAGTTTTTAGTGAAAAACTGCAACTCTCGTACAGGGCAGGTAGAATGTGAAATGGTATAACTTTAGAAAGCAGTTTGGCATTTAATTATATTTGTAAGTATTTATATATTTATATGTATATACAAAATCACTCGGCAATTTCAATAGTATACATTTTGAATAGCACCATTATTCAAAATAATCAGAAAGTAAAACAAACTCAAGGGTTCATCAACCAATGAATGGGTGAATAAAATGTGGCATATCTATGTAATACAATATTATTTAACAACAAAAGGGAATATAATTACCAACATATGGTATTTGGTATAGACTTTGAAAGAAGTCACAAAAACATGTATGCATCATGCATAAAAACTGTAATGTCTACAGTGGGCAAATTTATACAGGGAGAAAGATTAATGGGTACATACGGGAAGAAGAGGGCAAGAGAAAACAAGAGGACTCTAACTGGGTACAAAGTTTTTTTGCTGCAGAGGTGGTAAGTATAATTGTGATGCCAAACATGGTGGTACGTGTCTGTAAGCCTAGCACTTGGGAGGCTGAAGCAGGAAGATCACTAGGTATTTTAAGTCATTCTAGGACTTATATCTAGAACATATAAAAATCTGAAAAAAAATCAGATCTCCCCAAATTCAAAGACACAATCCAAAAATGGGCACCTAAGATGAATACATACTTCTCAGATGAAGAAATACAATTGACAAACAAATACATGAAAAAATGTTCAACATCATTGGTCATTCAAGAAATGCAAATTAAAATAACACTGAGATTCTATCTCACTCCAGAGAAAATGGCTATGATCAAGAGGTCAACCAATAACAAATACTGGAGAGGCTATGGGGAAAAAGAAACCCTTCCGCACTGTTGGTGGGAGTGTAGACTGGTACATCCACTGTAGACATCAGTGTGGAGATTCTTTGAAAAAGTAGGATGGGAGGTCCCATTCAATCCAGCTATTCTCTTTCTGGTTATTATTCCAGAAGAATTAAAAACATCATACCCACAGCAATATATGTGCATCCATATTTATAGCAGTACAATTTATAACAGCTAAATCTTAGAAACAACCCAAATGCCCATCTACTACAGAATGAATTAAAAAAAGATGTGATATTTTTATACAATGGAGTATTACTCAGCTATAAAGAAGGATAAACTTGAGGCCAATTTTGGTATATGGTACAAAGAATGGAATAATTTTTGACTTTTATGTTATACCAACATATCTGAGTAAGGTTTTCTTTGATTTTACTATCTGTGCATTATGTATTTATTCATCCATTCAGTCTAGGCAAAAAACATTATGTGTTACTCTAAGACTAGACAATAGAAAATAAAAAAACACCACTTTCACAGAATGAAAATCCTACTGTGACCTTCTGTACTACTGCTATTAACTCTTTCGAAAAGATTTCTGTAATTTTCAACTGTTGGAATAAACCTTATCCTTTCTTTCTAGGTATGCCACATAAGATACAATTAAATAAATACAAAAAATCTCCCAATCCGTGGGTTAAAGATATTTATCAATTAAAATCAAGGTTAAAAATATAAATTACAAGGGGCTGGGGATTTAGCTCAGCGGCATAAGCACCTGCCTTGCAAGCAGGCGGTCGTGAGTCCGATCCCCAGTACCGATAAAAAGGAAAACAAAAACAAAAACAAATCTATAAATTACAGCTAAATGTAATATAAATGTTCACCTTTTTCTCTTGGTGGTACTGGGAATTGAACCCGGAATCTTTACACTGAGCTACATCATTTTTTTTTTAGTTTGTGACAGCATCTCACTAAGTTACCCAGGCTGGGACTAAGCTGACAATGTTCCTGCTTCAGCCTCTAAAGTGCAGGGATTACAAGTGTGCATCATCTTACTCGGCTCAACAACTTTTTAAAATGCAATTAAATTAGTATGACTCTGTGGCTTATTGTTATCTTAGGAAATCTAAAGTCTTTGAGGTTCCATTCTGAAAATGCATTAGAAAAAAATTTAAAAAGCATTTTTTTTGAGACCAAGTCTAACTATGAATTTCATGCTGGCCTTAAATTCACTATGTAGCCCAGGAACAAAAGTTTTGAATTCTTTCTCACATTTGACATTGCATGCTAAATAATGTTGGTATCTTCATGAAAAAAAAAATCAGTGGTTAAGGCAGCACCTTCAGTACTTACCCCAACTAGAAACTAATACCAAAGCTAGTTTTGTTACCTAGAGGAATATATACAGTATTACAAATAATTTAAGTTACTTATTATTTTAATTTTCAGCTCCTATGTGGTAAGTTCCAAATTTTCAAAAAGAACCAAAATTTCCACATAAGAAAAATAGAGTTGATTACTAATGCCAGGTCTCTATAGCAATGAAGTCTCATTTTTTTACTTCAACCACTTAAGCATAAAAAGATTCATTATTCAATAAATAGCTCCTGTTCGTATTTATAATAAAGAATGCAAGGAAAAGAATAGATGAAAATATCAATGGATAATCTATATAATCTCATTTTAGCTACTGGATCTAACATCCTATTAATTTCACCTATAGTACAAAACTAAAAACATGGTCTGAATCACAACACTATAAACCTCCCAATTTTTTAGGCAATAACTTTAATGAGCTGGCAAATAATAATAAACAAAAAGAGGTAGCAAAAGTCCTAGATGACATACTGGCTACTTAAAACTTCATTTCAGAGATGAGGAAGCTACATTTAAGAGTTTGAGAGCTGAACAGTTAAACAGGTCTCAGAGCCTGAGTCATACTATACCAAGTATACCAGTCTACCACTCTGAAATGGAAAAAAATGTACAGTTGAGAAATTGTTGTTTTTCTGTTTCTACCTCTCCACTGAAACAAAATCCTATAGGCACCACTTAAACGTAGGTGACTAAAAGGTTAATTGTACTATAGGAGCTATGGTAAATACAGCATCTGTACCATTTCAGATAGGAAAAATGGCACTAAGATTAAAAACATACTGAATACCTAGCATGGAATAAGTACTGGTGTTAGAGTAAGAGGATAAAGTTACTGAGTTAAAGTAAAAAATACTTAGTCAAGTCTCACTGGCTTATGTAATCCTTTAATATTTCTGATGAAAATATGATTTTAAAGATTGTCCTAAAGTATAATACAAAGATCTAAACTCAAAATACTTTTTCTACAGTTCCTTAGAACTTGGTAGATGTGAACTACAGTTTTGTGAATTCTCACTGTATAATCAATTTGTGTCAATAATACAGCACTTACAATACTCCATAATACTTTCAAGACAGAACTTAAATCCCAAATTACTTGTTGGAAACAAAAACTGTTCCAGTTTATTCCAAGTCTGTCTCCTTCTCATATGAAAAGAAGATGTCTACCTACCTTTCCATGACAGCCAGGCACTCCTTTCTCCAGGTAAATCGGCTCCCTCTCCGCAGTCGTAAGGTCCCAGGTGTGGCAGACACAGGGGGAGGCGTTTGTCTCCACTCAAGGTCCTCTATTGGAATGGGGGCTGGTCTCATACTCAGTGTTGCCCCTGAAATAAGACAGTATTTAGCAAACATCTTGTAATTTATTAAAACCAATACAACATAGAAACCACAAAAGTATGAACAATGAACATCAAGACAATGTATTTTTGTCCTATTGAATCTTGCAGGGCAATATATTTAGTATGTATATTTAATTTTTTCACCCAAATAAAGATGTAAAGAGGTAGAAATACCTCCTTTGAAAAGTCTATCATTAGTTACTTTATCACATCATTCTTCATCACTTTGTCTTTTATCTATTATGCCATTAAAAAAAAAAAAAGCACAGAATCCTCCTCCTTGTGGGAAGAAGGAAGTATGGTCTTTGACTTACTGATGACTTAGTGTAAATTCCTCTTAAAACCTCTCTTGGGCCAGGGATATAGCTCAGCAGCATAAATGCCTGCCTGGCAAGTGCAAGGTCCTGAGTTTGATTCACAGTACAAACAAACAAACAACTGCTCTTGAAATTCCTACACAACAGCTATAATCTTTGTGATCAATACATTCTAGCTATCCCGAATCTTTCATTAGTATTTAGATTTAGAAATCCTTATAGAATACATTCAATGAGATGAACTTAAAAATAACTCCAATTATTGTAAACTCTTAAAGAAAAAAGGCAGGCACAGCAGCACATGCAGGGAGGCTAAGGTAGGAGGCCAACATGGGCTACAATGACAGCCTGTTTCAAAAGAAGTCAAATCAAACAGTAAAGAAAACAAGATGGTATTTGATATGCATTGAGTGTACCACTAAATCAAGTCTTTAAAGATTTACTTACTGATACTACACTATATTCTCTTCTTCCTTCAATGTAATAAAACTTCAATAACACTGTATAATTCAGGTATTTTATTAATTCAGCCTAGCCTTTTCTCAAACACACTGAACTGATGGTCATTTATTTATTCATTCACCATTATCAGATCTCTTTCCTATGGCTTTATTCTATCTCAAAGCTAAAATAAAACAAGAAAAGTCACACTGACTTCTACAGACTTATTTCATATAATTTGAATAGAGCTTGGTATGCTGCCATAGCATTTAATCTCTGGATCGTCTATTATTCTTTAAATACTGTTAAATTCATCTTTCCAAGCGTAATTATGATCATATCACTTTTCTCACCAAAAACTTTAAAAAAATGTTGGGTACAGTGGCACACACCTATAATCCCAGTGCTCAGGCAGGCAGTTGTGCTTCAACTCTGAGCTCAACATGGGCAATTTAACAAGATCCTACTCAAAATATAAAATGGCTTGAGTTGTGGCTTGATGTGAAGGCTCTAGATTTAAGTCACAGTATCACCAAAGCGGGGGAGGGGGATCTCAAGAAATTCCCTCTGCCTGTAGTTTAATCCAAGCTCTTAATATAGCCCTAAAAAGAGCTCAGAGGTTGTATTACACACCTATTAATATATTAGACACAATAATCTTATATTACTAAGTATATTTCTCCATAATAGGAATTATATTCTATCATACCTTTAACGATACCAAGAAGTGTTTCTATTTCAGTACTTACAGGTACAAGTCCTCTCTCTTTCATTTGTAATTTTTTGAGACACAGTCTTGCTATGCTGTCCAGGCAGCTTCAGACTCTAGGCTTAAGTGATCCACCTGTATCAGTCTCCCAAGTAGCTGGGACTAAAGGTATATACCACCATGCTTAGCTCACTTCCATCCTTAAATGGTTACATTTTTATCTATGTAGTTTTTTACGTAGACATCTAGTATCCTAACTAATCCTGGTTTTTCTTTTCAACTGATTCTGATTTTCCTTTTCTAGAGTCTTTCTTTCCAATCTTAGTAAACAGAATCCTATTCTTAAAAATTATTCATCTCAAAAACCTCAGACTTCTCAAAAACCTTTGACTTCTCTTTCCAATCCATAGGCAGTTTTATAAATTTTATTTTTTAAAAATATATTTAGAGCTGGAGGTTTAGCTCAGTGGTATAAACGCCTCCCTTGCAAGCACAAGGTCATGAGTTTGATCCTCAGTACCCCCCAAAAAACATAGTAAGAGCCAGGCATGGTGGTGCACTCCTGTAATCCCAGCACTAGGGAGGCTGAAGCAGGAGGATTGTTTTGAGTTTGAGACCAGCCTGGGCTACAAAATGAGCTCAAGGCCAGCCCGAACTGCATAGTGAGACCTTGTCTCAAAACAAACAAAGAAAATACTATATATATATATTTTCAGTGTCAGACCAATTTTTATTATCCTCACTGTTACCAATTTAGAACAAGCTGGCATCATCCCTTACAATCATAACTTCCTAGCCTAGGTTAAAAAACCACATTTACAATTAGTCACCCCCACTCCCAGCAATCATGCCCTTAAATCTGGGTATTAAGTCTTGAGAAGAACATGTGAAAAGTTCAAGGCGAGATTATAAGAAGCTTGGCAGCTTCTTCACAGATTTCCTGGTGTGCTGGCTCCTTGCCTTATAAGAAATCTGACAAACAGAGGACATAATGCCCTAAGGAAACTCAAGCTAGCCATGTGGAGAGGCCACGGGAATGCAAGATATCTAGTCAGGCTCCAGGAGCTCTGTCACTTAGGTGTCAGCCAAGTGAGAGTAAAAGCCATCTTGCATATTCTAGTCACAACAGACATCTTGCAGAAAACTCTAGAACATCTAGAACCTACCTGACAGAGAAACAAGGCCTGAGACACACAATATGATATAGCCTTGTGGCATCCAGGAACCCTAGGGATCCCTGCCACCTAGTAGGCACCCTTGTCACTTTGTACACTGAATTGTAATTAGTCTACGACCAACAGCATGCGGTAGTAATGGTACATCACTTCTAGGATTAGATTAGGAAAGACAGTGGGGCATCTGTCTCTTGGGTCAGCCATCAAGGGAAAACTAGCTACCAGAAGTCTTTGAAGAACAGCTGTCTCTGGCAGGAAGTGGGACCTACCAGATTCCAGGTAAAACATCTTGCAAGCAGATCATTTAGTCCCAATACCCGCAGCCCTGATAACATTAAATGTAACCTCATGAGAACTCTGAGTCTGAACCACTAAGTCCCATCACTCCTGAGAAATAAATATCTGCTGTGTTAAGGTGCTAAATTGTGGGGTACTATGTTGTATAATGACAGAAAATCAGTAAAATCATCTCCAGTTGTTTATTTCCCCACAACTTTCAAAATACTAAATGATGAGTACTATTTATTTAAATTACAAATGTAGTATCAAAAGCTTTCTCTTTAAGAGAGATTATGTAAGAATGAGCACCTTTCCCTCTTTACTGACCATTCTATGTTTTCCGTACCTTTTATCCTTTTTTCTTTTGTGTTATCTTATTGATATGAAGAACCCACATAAAACTGCTAGTAACATAGATTACAATTATGTTTTCCAGTCTGTCATTTGTCTTTTTTTAAACCTGGCCCTATCTCATCTCAGCAGTGGTAGAAAAAATAAATAATAAATAAATAAACTTGGCCCTGTCTTACATCTTTATTCATATATATTATGTGATCTTACTTTTCATGCAGTCAAATATGTCAATCCTTCTTACATGGCCAGTAGGTTTGAATATCATTAGGATATTTTTTATAGTTTCTCTTAGTATTTTGGCCCTTCATATATATGTAATTCCATGTGAAATATTTCTTTTTTTCCCCTCAAATGATCAAATGTGTCATTTAGTGATTCATGGTTTAAAATAAGAGTTGGCAAACTAGGGCCTGCTTCCTATTTTTGTAAGGTTTTAATGGAATATAGTTATGCTCATTCATTTACATATTGTCTGGCTGCTTTTGCACTATAAAAACAGAGCTGAGTAGCTGCTACAGAGATCATATATCTACCAAACCTAAAATATCTGTTTTCTACAGCCCTTTAGAGGAAGAGCTTGCTGACATTAGCCTTCATGTATTTCTGGCCCGGTCAGTAAATACATGAAAAAATGTTCAATGTCTCTGGCCACTAGAGAAATGTAAATCAAAACTACACTGAGATACCAAGAAAAAATGGGTATGGTCAAAAAAATCATAGAACAACATATTCTGGGAAAGAGGTAGAGAAAAAGGAACTTTTTCTACATTGTTGGTGGGAATGTAAACTGGTACAATCACTATACAGATCAGAAAAACTAAAAACAGAAATTCTCTTTGACCCAACTTACTTTCTAAGTATCTTCCCAAAGGAGGTAAAGTCATCACATTCCATAGATACACACATGTGCATGTTCATAGCAGCATAAGTTATACCAGCCAGATCTTGGAAACAGTGTGCATGCCCATAAACAGATGAATAGATAAAGAAAACATATTTATACACAATGGAGTACTAGTCTGCCATAAAGAAAGACAAATGAGACATTCATAAGCAAATGGATGCAACTTGAGAACTCATTAAGTGAAATAAATCAGATATATAAGTTTAACTATTGCATGGTTTCTCTTATATGAAAAGTACCCTCGCTATCTCTCTCAGAAAAAAAAAAACCCTCCTGGCCTATCCACTTTGAAACTCTTTTTTTTTTTTGTCTTTTTCCTTTTTATTGGTACCGAAGATCGAACTCATGACTGTCTGCTTGCAAGGCAGGTGCTTGTGCCGCTGAGCTAAATCCCCAGCCCTCACTTTGAAACTCTTAAACTGACATTTTTCTTTAAGCAGTTCAAGAAAAGGGAATATCATTATGCTAAAATAACATGGGTACTTGTCTGGGCTTAATTCATTTAACAAAGTTTAGATTTAAGTGGGAATTAGGAGACAGATTATGGTTGATCAAGATGGTGTCAAAAATAGAGCGAATGAGAAAATAGGTTCTCTCATCCAATGTCTGCCTTTGATTAAGCGATGGGAGTTTCAGGATGCAGGGTATGCAAAAGGTCAGTGAATTCCAACTGACAGGCTATGACTCTAATTGCAGAATGCTTTGTTAGGTGAGCAGGAGGATGGACACACATAAATAGGATACAATTTTAAGATTAAGTAACCTTAACTGAGAATGAAATAAACTAGCTAATAATAATGGTTCTC